TGAACTCCAATCGATTCCTTATCAATCCCAAATGCATATATGACCTGGAATTTCATCACAAACACTGGACAAACATAAAATATGACAAAGTGGGGTAAGTTCCCCGATGAAAACCTTTTATATCAAGAATACCTATGCCAAAATGCATGTTTTGAAAATAGGAACGAAAATAGGCATGAATAACCTGATATGTGACCTAGACACGGTGATTTAACATGAAAATGCTTTAACAATAAGGCTAAATAACACCTATTTTAGGTGTTATCAATGACACACCTTGTTTCAACTCTTGGTTCCGCCACTGCCCCACTCCGCCACAACAACCACACCCTCTTTTGTTCTTGAACAACTAGCGTGGGTGTAATCTTCATTGTTGGCACGTCGAATCTTTTGCTCTGAGCGTGTCCAGATTTTTTTTTTTGCAGCGACCACAATGAGCAACTCGAAATTGTAGCTCATTATGGTCGCTGCAAATAAAATTATCTGGGTTGGTGTCGGTCGAGATCCATACTTCCCCAACAAACCATTTGGGTTTGAGCCTGTCGCCGGATTCATTCATCCTTCAGTCTGGAGATTTACATTTTTCCCCGTCGTTAGATTCCTTTGTCCTTCTTCATTCACACCACAGTCCTTAATCTACTGCCTCAGTTTCACTCTTGTTATTCCTCGTCATTTTCGTTATTAGACTCAATTCCTGGTGCTCTAGCTTCTTTAGGGTTATTACTTGCTTATGAGCTAGTGCAACACATGTTCTTGTAACCTGCTTTATGTGTTCATAGCACATGACTTTAGACCTGTGCTATATACTTATCACCAATATATTTCAAGATTCATCATGATAAGAGATTTTTCTCACGAAGTTATATATTTTATTAGAGATTACAATCCAGAGTAGAATGAGGATAATGTATCGACACCCAACATATCACGAACTCATCTTGTAGATTGTCATTAGAGGTGACAATTTATAATCCAATCCAATCCATTCACTTAAATATCAAACTAATCCAATCTATTTGACCCAAATTCAATTGGATTGGATTCATGGATAATTGGAAAAATATAATTTAGTACCTATATTTTCTATTTTACTATTTGATACATAAAATTATTTTTATATGGAAAAGGTCATTGGAAATTGCAGTTTGGTACCTAAATGTTTTTATTATGACATGTTAATACCTAAAGTTTTCAAAATTTACATATTGGTCCAAGGTTTAGATGTCATTTGGATCCATGGATCAATCCACCAATCCATATAATCCAATCCACCAATCTATTTGATTTATAAATCTATCAATCCAATCCACCAATCCATGGATCTAATCCATTTCCACCTCTAATTGGCATCCATGTTACATTTATGCTAATACAATAAGCAATTTAGGGTTTTAAGCTAAATTACGAAGGGGATTGGGGAGTGAGACGCTAAAACAGCTGGCAATGAGGATCGTACCAATCACCACGATTTTGTAGACCAAGGTTTGGTTAACGCCGTTCGCTGAAAGGTGTCGGTTTCATTGTCGCAATTTGTACCTTTTTGGTGGAGCTATAATGTCAAATCTAGCGCCAAAATTTGACATTTGAATTTTTTTTGGAGAAGGTCTTACTTGGGCCTAAAAAATTTCAATAGGCATCCAAAGTTCCATTAAAATTAATTTCATAAATCTTTTAAAATGAAAAAGTAACCTATCCCCCCCCCCCCAACTAACCCGAAAATCTAGGTTGGCGATCACAGTAACCTTTCTTAAAGTTTTGCATTGCACGATAATGGACTAAAGTAACCATTTTGTTATATGTTCAAACTCGTGTTACCCCATTCATACAATGACTAACCCTGTATGTCCGTTTTGGCTAATAGCCAATAATAAAATAATCAATATTTGCTACATCATACCGTACTAGTTGTCCAATCGAAAAATACCTACCGAAACCCAAGATGGTATTGGATTTTACTATATGAAACTAATAAACCATGATTTAATTAGAAAATATCCTACCACTCACTCTCCCAATTATTGAAAATTATCGCCGACACTTCTAAAAAAATCACATTAAGGTAGAAAAGAATATTACATACGTGCCCGTTTAAATCCGCGTGTAAAGAGAGAGTGCGATTCTCGGTGACTGAGGGTTTCCGTGCTTTCTCGTCGTCGGCTCCGGCATCTGCGCCGGAGCAGCTCTATTTCCCTCTTTTCCTATTTTTTATGTGTGAGGCTAGTGCTGTGGTTCCTGCTCCAGCTTCAGAGGTGCTGAATGGCGATTCTCGGGGGATTCCTTCGAAACTCTGGGCGTCGTTGTTTGGCATCTCTAAGGCAAACCGCCTTACTTATATTCTGCCCGAGGTCGTGAATGGAGGATTGAGGATGCCTAAAACTGTTCGTGAAGCTGGTGCGACTTGTTGGAAGCACAACCTTGTGGGGCAATTCCTTTAGGATCCGCTTCCGTTTTATGTTCTGCGTCGCTGGGTCAACAAACTTTGGGGCCGCGACGAACTGGTTAGGGTTTCACTGCTATATGATAAGATGCTGCTAATTTAACTGCCTAATCAGAGGGTATGTGAGTGGATTCTTGAAAATGGTCAGTGGTTTTGGTTCAACAATTTACTATATCTTCGTCCTTGGGTTCCTGGTATTAGTTTTGAGGATTTGGGAAGAAAGGCTTTCCCGATTTGGATAAACTTAGCGAATGTTCCACTAGAGTATAATGATTTCCAGTGGCTGAGCAGAATTGCGAGTTGGATTGGGGTTCCGCTGGGTATGGATCATACTACTCAAATAGGGGATAGACACGGGTTTGTCAAAGTTCTGGTGGAGCTTACAGTTGATAGTGAATGTCCTGATCATGTTCTTTTGTGGCCTGATGATGATTTATCCATTCGTATTGGGATCACCTACTGTAATTTGCCCCCCATATGCCCTGTTTGCCATCTATTTGGGATTACAGGTTCATGTGCTGAACATCAGGGAAAGCAATGGGTGGCTAAACCAGTACACAATGAGAAGGGGCTTACGATTCAGGGGCAAGAGGATATAACTGCTTCAGTGACTCAGAAGGTGAATATGGATCAACAGGTGATAAGTGGTAAAGGCAAAGAGGTGGTGATATATGATGATGATCCTCAATTACAAGCCATCTTTAGTACTCCAATTTCGATGGGAGGGGGCAAAGTAGCTCCACAGAACTTGGATAAATCTTTCCAGGAGGTGGCTACTTCCTCTTCACCCAAATTACCCTCTGAAGATGAATTTCAAAGGGTGGTCAATGGAGCTAGACCTCGTGTCTGGCTATCCCAAGACAGTTCTAAGGACATTCAAGTATCTAACTCTTCTTTCAGTGTTTTGGGGAAACTAGGTGATAGGGAAGCAGGTAAGATGCAAGATGCTCCAAAGAAGGAGGTAAAGAAGGATATGAAGAAGGGTGTGGGGGGGGGGGGGGGGAGCCCCCAACTTCGAAATGATTGTTCTGTTTTGGAATGTACAGGGGTTTAATAAAACCTCCAAGCAGAGGGACTTGATGCAGGTCCTGTGTAGAAATAAAGTAGATGTAGTTGCTGTTATTGAAACTAGGGTTCAGGCTAATAAAGCTGAGGAGGCAGTAGAGGAGGTTTTTGCAGGATGGGAGAAGTGTCTCAATTGTTTTCATTCGAAACTGGGGCGGGTCTGGCTGTTTTGGGACCCTGTCATTAAGCTTCATGTTCTCAAACCAAGGAAAAACTTTATTCATTGCTTGGTTGAGGACATTAATAAGGATACCTTCTTTCTAACTGCTGTTTATGCATCTAATGATGAGGCTGAGAGGCTACATACCTACAAGGAGCTTGCACAGTTGAAGGTTGTTGGTCATCCTTGGATCGTAGGTGGTGACTTTAATACTGTTAGAGCTCCTCATGGACATCTAATCAGCGTTCTTTTACTTCAAGTATGGAAGGCTTTAATCAATGGATTGAGGAGATGGAGTTGGTAGATTATAAAGAAACAGGCCCTCAGTTCACATGGACTAACCGGCAGGCTCATCGTCCTATTGCTAGACGGCTAGACAAATGTCTGGTTAATGTGGACTGGATTCAGCATTTTAAAGATTGTGCTATGGAGGCTCTCCCTGCGTTTTGTTCTCGGATCACTGTGGGATACGGGTTTGTACAGCAGCCCCCATAAAGTCTCTGCCCAAACCTTTTAAATATTTTGAGTTTTGGGCAGAGCACCCACTTTTTATGGATATAGTAAAGGAAGCTTGGAGTCTTGAGGGTTCAGGGAATCCCTTGCAAATTATTCAGAGTAAATTGTGTAGGGTAAAGCAGGCTTTAAAGAAGTTTAACAAAGATGTCTATGGTAACCTGCAAGATCAGGTTAAAGAGGCCGAGGGTGAGTTGCTAAGAGCCCAAACCAAGACGTTCTCAGATCCTACTACTGAGCAATTTGAATCTGTTACTCTTGCTAAGGACCATTGTGATCATATATCTTCAGCTTATGAAAATTTCTGCTGGCAGAAATCCAGGGTATCCTGGTTAACAGTTGGGGATCAAAGTTCAAACTGCTTTCACTAGGCTGTTAAAATACGAAACTCCAAGCGAGCTATAAGGATATTGGTTACAGACTCCCGGAGGGGGGGGGGGGGGGGATATTTCAATCTTCCCAGATAGTTAAGGAGGAGGTGAAGTAGCTGGTGTGCCATCATTTACCTGGACCTGAGTGTGATCTCCATGTTAAGGAAGTCACAGCAGAAGAAATAAGGAGTGTGGTTTTTAGCATGAACTCCCAGAAAGCTCCAGGGCCGGATGGGTTTTCTACTGGATTCTATGAAAAGACTTGGTCTATTAGGGGATGATATAATCAGAGGCATCTTATTCTTTTTTCAGACAGGTACTCTTCTTAGTGGGATAAATGCCACTGCTGTCTCTTTAATTCCCAAAGTTTCTAATGATGATTCCTTAAAGAAATTTATGCCTATTTCATGTGTGAACCTTCTCTATAAAATAATGCTAAGATTCTTTCAAGGCGCATTAGTGAAGTTATGCCTTTGATCATTAGTAATACTTAGTCAGCTTTTGTAAAAGGTAGAAGCATAATGGATAATATCTTATTGGCTCAGGAGTTGGTTAGTGGATATAATAGAACTCATCTGTCATCTCGATGTGCAATAAAAGTAGACATCATGAAGGCATTTGATTGTGTTAGTAGGCAGTACTTGTTTCGTATGATGCATGCTATGGGCTTCCCAGAGAGGCTTATGACATGAATTAAGGCTTGTCTTCAAACTGCCCATTACAGTTTTAATATCAATGGCAGTTTATGTGGATTCTTTAGAGCTAGGAAAGGAGTCAGGCAAGGTGATCCACTATCACCATACCTATTTACCATTGCTATGGAAGGTCTATCGACCATGCTGATGGCTGCTAGTCAATCTGGATTGATTCCTTTCCACCCTCAGTGCCAGAGAATATCTTTAAACCACATGTGCTTTGCTGATGATATCCTAGTGTTTACTACTAGATCGGCCCAAGCCATCCTTCAAGTTAAAGAAGTTAACTTGAAGTATAAGTTCTACCTGTTGTCTGGGATCAAAAGTAATCCTTCTAAGTGTGAAATTTATTTTGGAGGAGAGGCCATCAAGTATAAAAGTAATGCTCTGTTGCTATCTGGGTTTAAGGAAGGTGAGCTACCTGTCAGATATTTGGGACTGCCCCTAATGTCTGGTAAACTATCTTCTACTGAAGTTGACATTCTGGTAGACAAGTTTACTAAGAGGGTTAAATCCTGGAGGGCCAAGAAACTAACCTATGTTGGACGACTGCAACTAATCAACTCAGTGCTGCTTGGAGTGGTGCAATACTAGATGCAGCTTTTCGTGCTCCCAAAGAAAGCATTGAGGCGGATTCAACAGGTATGCTCTCACTTTCTTTGGCATGGGAATGATGTTGGTAGAGCTAAGGTGGCATGGGACTTTGTAGCTTTACCAAGGAGGGAGGGTGGACTTGGGATTAAAGATCTGTTGGCCTGGAATCAGGCTTGTTCCATTCGCATGCTCTGGTTGTTTCTTATGAAAGCTGGAGCTCTGTGGGTTGCATGGATGTACGAATACAGATGTAGGCAGGGGGACCTCTGGTCTTTTAAAGTACAGTATTGTAGTTCGTGGACTTGGAGGAGGCTTCTTAAACTAAGAAGCATCATTCTCCCATGGATCCAACAGCAACAGGGCACCTTATATTGGGATTCTCATGAAATGCAGGTTTACTCTGTTAGAAGAGTGTGAGAAACATTGCGCAGGAAAGCTCCCGCTGTCACATGGCATAAACTTATTTGGAGCAGATACTGTCCCATGAGATATAGTTTGATCTTGTGGCTGATAATGCGAAACGCCATTACCACAAGGGATAAATTGTTGCAGTGGGGGAAAATCAGGGATGCTACCTGCCCACTCTATGGGGTTGATGTTGAAAGTAGAGAGTACTTATTTTTTCGATGCACCTACTCTCAGAGACTGTCTATGCTGATGCATTTCTCATTTCTCAATTCTTCAAGCTAGGAGGCCATGATACAGAAAATTGCCACTGCAATATGCAGGGACTCTCATACAGGCCAATGGCACGCTCTTGTCTGGTGTCTCGCAGTGTCATTTATCTGGAAGGAAAGGTTCAGAATTGTTCATGGTTCACCCCTCCGCGACCCAGAAACTCTTGCTGATCTTATTAGAGTGGACTTATTGTTCTTATCTTGTGGAAAAAGAGGAGTTCGAGATGCACTTACACGCCTTGGATAATTATAGTTTTTATTTTGCAGCTTTGTAAGTAGTTTTCATATATAGTGAGTGGGAGTGAGTAGCATATATATTTGTGAGCTACTTGTGGGACTCTTCTTTTTAGGGTTCCACTTTGGTGTATCGATTTCCTTTTCTAGCAATAAAAGCAACTGATTCAACGGAAAAAAATATTACATACGAAAGGCAGCTGATTTCGACGAGTACACCCATCGCAGGCTTACTTAAAATGAGTTAAATACCAATTAACCTTGTCGGTACAACGTATGGGGCTGTCGTTTTTCCTCTTCGCCGCGCATACAAGGATTCCGAGCCCTGATTTGGCCGTTTGTGCCGGCTTACATTCCTTAGGGAATACCAACTTATAAATTCGTTTCTCATTATTGGAGGGAGTTTCCCCGGCCTAGGATAGAGTCAGTAACCAATGGTTACTGACCTATCAGTAACTAAACCAGGACCGTAGATCTAGGGACGGAATCATCATATGGCTGGACTGCACGCGGAGTGAGGAGGGGCATTTTTGTCCAATTTTTGAAATTTGATTTCTTTCCTTTTTTAACTTTTCCAGCATTTATATGATGTCTTTTATGGAGGAAAGAGAAAAACATACTCTCTCTTCCTCTCTCTTTTCTCTTTCTTTCTTCCTTTCTCTCTTCCAAACTCCTTTTCCAGATCTAAATCTCATTTCTTCTCTTTTTCTTCATTTGTTTTTCTCCAACAATCGACAAAGAAATTGCAGCCTACCACCTCAAATCCGGTGACGCTCCAAATCCTTTTTCTCTCAAGCTGCTCCTTCCTTCTGTTTTTTTTCTTTTCACGGCCTCAAAATCAATGACACTCTATACTGTCAAAGAGGGGACATATCTAGGTGAGTCAAGTTTGGATCTTTTGTGTGTTAGTATTTGTTTGTGAATTTTCAATTCTGATCTTCCTCCTCTTTTTTCTTTCTTTTTGCATTTGGTATTCTTGATTGTGGAGGAGTAAATGAGAGGAGACAGAAGACGAGTTTTTTTTCTCTTCCTCCTTCTGTTTCCCCCTTCTTTGAGAATATATATTGATATTACCACACTATACCATATGGTAATGTATGCTAACTAAATGTATTTTTATAGTCACGAGTTTTATCATGGTGGTAGTGGGTGGTAGTCGACACCAGTTCCGAGAAAGAAGAGTTAGAAGACAATGAAGGGAGAGAAAAAAGTGAAGAAAGTCGTAATTGTATATATATGTATATATATATATATATATGTGTGGTAACGAAATATATTTTTATGAATATCATGTTTTTACTATGGCCGTAGAGGGTTGTAATTAGATTTATATGGTTTTACCTTCTCATACCATGTGGTATTATATGGTAATTATAATTAATTTGTGGTCTATCGATTTACCATGTTCTACTATGGTGGTATTGTATGCTAGTTAGATTTATAATTTTCTGTAGCGTTGTTTACCAAGTTATACCATGTGGTGGTAGTTTGATTTGTAATTTTATTTTAGCATGTTATACCATATGGTATGGTAATTAGATTTGTAAATTTCTGTAGCATGTTTTACCACGATATACTATGTGGTATTGTATGGTAGTTAGATTTGTAATTTTCTTCAACATATTTTACCACGTTTTACCATGTGGTATTGTATGGTAGTTAGATTTGTAATTTTCTTCAACATATTTTACCATGTTTTACCATAATAGTAGAAAGTGATAATCATATTTATACTTGTAATTAGTGTCTTCAATTTGAGTTGGAATTAGAATAGAGATTGCTAGGATGGTTAGATTCATTTTTGTTGTAGATGGGAGAGAGAGAAGAAATAATGTATTTTTTATTTTAATAATAAAATAAAACAAAGAGTGAGAGAGAGGGGAATCAGTGGGGTGGGGGAGTGGGATCCGCGCCAGGTAAAAATGTCAGCGTCAGAGCGTCAGCGCGTCAGCGTCAGCATTAAATAGGGGGTACAATTTACCTTTGTGCCCCTCCGTGTTTAATTTAAATAAAAGAAAAAGGCTGACACGTGGGGACAGATGATTGAGTTACTGACAATTAGTGACATGAAAGATACTGACCTGATCTGGTCCAAGTTTCCCCAAGGGAACCATCTCCCAATCCTTTAATAAATCAAAATTAATTAATTATACATACTTTCATAGAAATTCAGAGTTTTGTTTTGTCCTCATTATTAATTAATTATTTATTTATTTATAACTGAGTAACTTCCCATGCACTCACCGTTTGTGCGATGGTGAAGCGAGATCAAATTTGGAGTTCATCTGCTTGAATCCTTCGGACCCTCCACGAGAATCTCCATTAAGGAACACTATAGCTGGCCTTGGTAGCTAGGGTCGAACACGGAATCTGTCACTTCCCAGAACGAACACCCATTAAGGGTTTCACTGTTAGCCTATGTGAACTTTTGGCTTTTTACGCATTATTAAATTCATTTGAATGAAGAGTTTTTGCCTTCCTGTAAATCAAATTAATAATACAGAAATAGCTATGGCCATGGCATATCCTGTTTGGAAGAAGACGACATCTGCTTCTTTTCTGATTGCTAGTCTCTACAGGGCATCTTACGGCAGCAGGCTGGCTAGCAAAGTGATTAGATAACTTCAGGAGCTATTTCCGGATGACTTGCGCTATTTCTATTCTTGTTAATTCTGGGGTCCCTTTTTTGGCATGTTATAGAGCAACTTCTATGGTGTATTTGTGTTTATCATTTGTTATTGGTTGGTAGTGAAATTAAAAATTGCTTCTTGTTCAATTTTGTTCATTGATTCTCCCCCAAGAGGATAAATTAGGGTTTGGTCCCTAAACTTCTGTACTTTTCGTTTGGAAGTTCATGAATTTATAATTTTTTCGTTTTAATCGTTCATGTAATTAGGATTTAGTGTTTGTTAAATGTATGAGGTGATTATAAGAAGTTTTATTTTTATTTTTTTTATCTCAATTATCAGTAGAGGGTATCATTGAGGTTGGTATTATGGACGCTGGAGATTGAATAGGAATCTCGTGGCAAATGTTAAACTATGTCAAAACAAGATATTTGAGATGAGCACGATCATTATGATGGGTGTTGAACACAAGCAGTATGAAGCAAGGAACTTAATTAGGTTGATCGTTTAAAGGAGGGCAACATGTTGCACACATATACATAGCTGAGCTTGTTGATATACTTGTTAATGCTCGTCAAGGATGAATATATGACTATTTGAAATATTGCTCCATATATACATGAATTGACCTTGAACCTTATAGGGCGGTATGGGTTAGAGATTTCTTAGTATGGTATTTGGGCCCTGAATCCACATTCAAAAAACTTAAAATAGTAAGTTCTGGTAAATCATGGGTTTTGAAAAATCTATGAAGGTTTTGGATTTATTATGGAATTGAAAAACATCATTGTTTATTTTATAGATTTCATGATGGATTTGCTGATTAGATTTGTATGTTTGAAGTAAAAGTGACCTTTATTGTCCTCATAGTCATTGGTTTGAGAAGAGAAAGAAAATATGAGGGATAGATTGGTCACAAATGGTGGACTTCAAAGTCCATGATCAATTTTCATATGAAGGGGTGGAATTTTCAGCCAAATATTTTCTATAAAGGGGCAATCCATCGAACAAACAACCTTAGGTTTTCTATATGTAGGTTTTAGCCAAATGTTTTGTTTGTCTATAAATGTGGGTTTTCAATTTAAAAAAAAAAAACAAATGTGGGTCTTCACCGGTGGGGAGGTCAGGAAGAGAGGGCGAGTTCGCCGGTGGTGTATCGGCGTACAGACGGTGAGAAAGAAGTCAGGGTGGGGGGAGTTTGAAATTCGGTTGGAGGAGATGGTAGGAAGGAAGAAGCATAAATAGGGTTGGAGCTCGGAAGAATTGGGAGTGGGGATGTGGGTTTACGAAATACTGAGGTAGTTATTTCCAAAACCCACATCTCGCACCAAACCCACATCTCGCACCAAGTGAACATTGGCACATCATAGACAAAGACTCATTGGTAATTTTACATAAATTTAGTTACATTTGATCAGATCGGTAGTAAAAGAAAAAGAAATTTTAGAGTAAGATCCGGCATTCATACGATACAACAAAACTACAGAAGGCAAAGTAAAAAGTCAAAATAAAATGGTTAAAAAGAATACTAAGGGACCTATTTGTAATTAACAAAAAGACTCAGGAGGCACGTACCAAAAACCAAAAACAAGAACGACAAAAAAACTTGATTTCATCTCAGTGATTTTGTTTTGTTACGAACCACCGACCACGGACGTCCATGATCCATCTGTTCTAAGAGGTAGCATTGGAATGGGAAGTGGACGGAATCAAAACCGGTTTTGCCGTTTTCATAACTAATAATTCGCAAAATGGCTTCGAAGAATCAGTCCAAAACCCAATTCTTTTATCAACCGGAAAAACAATCTATGCCCCAGATACCAGACCATCAAGTACTGTAATTTTTATTTTTTGTTTTCACTCTAAATTATTTTGGATTGGACAAACAGAAGCAGACGGATCCAATTTAGATGCGAAAGCAGTGTCCTGTCCAAGGCGGCATATGGCGTAATATTACCCACCACAGCATCTCTACCCAAAGAAAGCAACACTAATTGTCTAATACAACTAGCCAAAACAAATCCTTAACTAAAAACACTAACAAATGGTTTGATACCAAATGAATCTAGAATTTATTTTGTTTTTAAAATGAATTCCTGTGTAGAATTCATTGTCAAATGAATTACTGTGTTTGGTATATGCTATTAGCGTTACAATCAAATTCCTGTCGACGTTCCTCATACTGCATGAATTGGCGCCAAATAATATATGTAGAAGTAATTTTGTTTATAAATGAGAATTATTATGTCCTTTTATCATAATTGGTAAATACTTGTGGAATTCATTTGAAAATTCCATCTCAATTCCTCGGAATTGCTATAACTAGTTCCAATTCCGTAGAATTCAAAATTTAGAATTGAAAATAAATTCTTTTAAATACCAAACACAAAAAATTTAATTTCAAAATGAATTCCTAAAAACATATGGAATTCATTTATACCGAACGGTATGTAACACATTTCCATTCAGATCACATATACGATTAATTCTGCAAAAAATTACCATTTTAAAAAATAGTTAAGATGAATAGAAAATTTTAATAAAAGGATTAAATGGATTAATTTTAATAAAAAATATAAATAAAAGATATTTAACATGAATATTTTTTTTATGAATCGGTGGGTTTTAATTTCATTAAAAAAGAACTGCTAGCAACAGCCTTGCTAGCTAGGCCTAAGTCACTTTCAAATTAACACTACCAAAGCAGTAAACCAACAACCAAACCAAAACGTTTACATCTCAGAAACCAGAAAAGCAATCAAGAAATCCAGTATCCCTGGGTTCTCTGTTTACCAACCGCCAGCTCCACTTCAGACTTAATGACCTTCAACAAAACATCAACACCACGTTTGACACCAGCAAAAAATTTAGCAGTCCACTTCAGTAGTCTCAGTAGCAGCAGAAAATTTAGCAGTCCAGAAGGTCATTGCATCATTCTAACCAGGCCTAAGAGTACTCTTCAGTGAGCTACTTAGAAGACCATCATACAATGTTTTCAAAAAAACACAATCTGTAAATAAGTGCTCTCTGTCCTCAAGTCCTGTATCACAAAGACAACAACTCATAGGCCCCAAATAACCCCATTTTAGCATCCTTCTCCTTGTGTTTATACAGCCTTTAACAACCAACCATGAGATCACCCTGTTCCTTGGGATAGCCTGCTCTTTCCATACAAGTTTCCACCAAGGAACTATCTGCTGAGTAGGCCTAATAAAGTCCCAAACCTTCCTGATCGAGAATGAATTTAGTGGGGCACCATTAAGCAGAACTCTGTCATTTTCTAGAGAGAGCAAGTGACTAACTCTAGTTCTGATTTTAATGATCTTCTTCCAGTTCCATAATCCAGTTCTACATGTGTAAGTCCAGAAGTTATGCTCTTTTATCTTATAAGCATAGATCCATGCTACCCACAGAGAGCATTCTTTCAATAGGATAAGCCAGATATGCCTTACCATGCAAGCAACATTCCAAGTGCTCATAGCCCTAAGTCCCAGGCCACCCTCTTTTTTTGGGAAAGTCAGTTTCTGCCAGACCATATTTGCTCTGAGCTTTGTTCGAGTCCCAACTCCCCATATGAATCGACTACAAATCTGTTTAACCTCTTTAATAACAGCCTTGGGGAGTAAAAACACTGGCATCCAAAATTGTGTCAAACTGTACAAGACAGTTCCTACTAGCTCAATTCTTCCTGCATAAGGCAGGGTCTTAGCTTGCCAGCTTCTTACTTTAGCCACCAATTTGTCAATAAGAGGCTTGCAAGAAGCAGGGTTGAGTTTACCTGAAATGAGGGGAACCCCCAAGTATCTCATAGGAAACTCTCCAAGATGATAGCCATATCTGGAAGCTCTTCTACCTTTTTCCTCTCGATCTAACCAAGCAAAAAAGACCTCACACTTACTAGGGTTTGATTTCAGACCTGAGATCCTACTAAACTTACTGAGAACCCTCTGAAGTTCCAGAATTCCACAATTTGATGCATTAGAGAAGACCAAAAGGTCATCGCAAAACAAAGATGTGTAAGTTTAATTTTCTTACATTGTGGGCGAAAAGGGAAGTACCCATCAGTGGCAGATCTGTCAAAATAGTAGCATTCACTGCTCTAGGGATACAATCTTGTTCAAAATAGTATTGGATTGCAAGAGTTACCTCGTGACCAATTAAAGGCCAAGCGTACTGGAAAAAAGCAGCCGTGAAACCATCTGGACCCGGGCTTTTATCACCATCCATCACAAATAAGACTTCCTTTATCTGCACTTCAGTTAAAGGAGCAAAGATTCCCTCAGTCTGCTCCTCTGTGAGCTTATTCTTCAACAGTCTCTCATAGTAATCACCAGTTTGAGGTTCAACTTCAGGATCTGGTTTCCCCAATAAGTTACCATAGAACCTAACAGCAATCTGAGCCATTTGATCCACATCTTGAGTTTTCAGACCATCCTCGTCTTTAAGAACTCGAATTGTACTTCTTCTCTATTTGGATCGAACCAAGCGATGAAAATAAGCAGAGTTTGTGTCACCTGTCTTTAGCCAAGTCTCCCTCGATTTTTGCCTCAAGAAACTTTCTTCGGCGGATAACAAAACATTTAGCTCCCCCATCACAACCCCCTCAGCCTCAAAGTTTTTAGGGGAGGGATCAACTAGTGCTTTCTGCTGAACCAAGTCCAACTCCATTTCCTTCTCCTTGACCCTTCCTCTAATATCAGAGAATTCCTCCTTATTCAACTTTCTCAAGAGGTTTTTCAGATTTTTCAACTTCTTGCAGACTCTTACTAATGGGTTACCAGTGACCCTACCACTCCAAGCCTCCTCAAGAAGACTACTAAACTTGGGGTGTTGTAGCCAGAAGTTAAAGAACTTGAAAGGCTTAGGGAGAGATTCAAAACTGTCTCAGTTTCAACATACATAGGACAATGATCAGAAACCCCGAGAGATTGAAAATGCACTTTACTATCCTTCATATATTTCAACCATTCAAAGTTGACTAGAACTCTGTCCAATCTCTTGGCAATGGACCTTGCCGTTTGCTTGTTAAGCCATGTGAACCAGGGACATTTGGCTTGATGCTCCTCTAATTCAAGATCAACAATCCACTTACTGAAAAAGTGCATACTAGAATCCGGCTGAGAGCTATTTGATGCTTCAGAAGGATGCCTTATATCGTTAAAATCTCCCAACACCATCTAAGGTTGACTACTTACTTGAATCCGTGAGATCTCATTGTAAAGCAGTAATCTAGACTTCTCATCATTTGATGCATAAACCACTGTGCCAAAGAATTTCTTATCATCATCTGCCAGAAAGTGAACAAACTGATCCGATGAAAGGAGCACTCTGAGCTTCATTTTCTTCCTCCAGAGCAACCATATTTTCCCCAATCCTGCTGGATTATGCTTGACTTTAGACTCTCAATCAGGAAACCGCTTCTTAATCAGCTTATAAGTTTATGAGATTCTTATTCGAGGCTCTAAAATAGCTACTATATCTATATTGTAATTATTTTATATTAAATAATACAAATGTATTATTTATTTTAGTTTTTTTTAATTAGCACAAATACGTAATACCATGTAAAAAAAATCAACTATAAAACGGCTGGAATAAAACAAATTTTATTTATTTTGCCTACGTAGCTGGAGTAGGGAACCGCACCGAGTATAAAATATAAATCACACGTACGGAGTCGGCGTCATCAACTCATCTAAAAAAGAAACCTCCTGCTTTTCTGCTTCCCCGGGGTTCATATTCCAGCTATTCCTTCTTTACACTGAGCTCTATGATGGCCGTCAGCGACCGGAAAATACTATCCACCGGAGAAATCCTCCAAGTCGCCAAAGCGAGGTTCCTCCAGCTCTCATCCCAGCACCGCATCGACCTCTCCAAGCTCAAACACTTCTTCGACGCCTCCCACTTCAACCTCTCCGGCGACGAGATCAAAGACGTCGAGCTCGTCCTCCTCCTCTTCGCCTCCGCCCACAAATTCGCTTCCCAACAAATCGACCAATCCATCAAATTCCTCAGCTGGTGCCGATTCCTATCGTCCCCGTCCGGCTCTCCGGCCCAGCGACTCGTCCACTTCTTCACCAAATCCCTGCAGGAGAGAATCGACGGCGAAATCGGAGCCACCAAGGAAGAAGAACAGGGACAATCGGATCAGAGCCAAACGACGCCGCCCTGTGCCAATCCGGCTTTAATCGCTTGCTCCTTGAAGCTCCCCTATATTCAGGTCAGTGAGTGTGTGATTTGAATTTCGATTTGAATTGTCATGTGATTTGAATTTTTTGTTACAGGTTACTCAATTTGCTGGAATCCAGACCGTGATCGAGAGCGTAGCTTCGGCGAGGAAAGTACACTTCATCGATCTCGCGATTCGGAGCGGCGGACAATGTACGGTCCTGATGCAGGCCCTGGCGAACCGACAGGGAGCTCCGATCGAGCTCCTGACGGTGACGGCGGTGGCGACAGCGGGGGAATCGTGGCAGCAGCGTATCCAGGAGACAGGGAAGCGACTGGCGAGCTTCGCGGAGGCTCTGAACATTCCTTTCCGTTTCAATTGCTTGATGGTTGACGGAATTAGGGATTTGAAGGAAGATATGTTCGAGATCGGCCGCGGCGATACAGCCGTCGCCGTCTTCGCCTGGAACATTCTGAAAAACTTTCGAGCTCAGGCGGAAGGTTTGGATTCTCTGTGCGGAGTCCTCCGAAATCTGAATCCCTGCGCCATCGTGGTCGCGGAATTCGAGGCGAACCACGACGCGACGGAATTCTTCGAGCTATTCGACGGCGCGATCGCGCTGTACGGCGCGCTGTTCGATTGTCTGGACGATTGCTTCGATCGATCGGACGGCGACCGGGGGATCGTGGAGTCGGCGGTCGGGATCGAGATTCGGGACGCGGTGGCGGTGGAGGGCGATCAGGAGCGGGTTTACCGGCCGATGAGGATCGAGGAATGGCGGGATTATTTCTCCAGAGTTGGGATGATGGAGCTGGAGATCAGCTCGTCGTCTTTCTATCAGGCGGCGCTGCTGGTCAGGAATTTCGCGTCCGGGGAATCGTGTACGGTGGATAGGGACGGCAAGTGTTTGGTCACCGGCTGGAAAGGGACTCCTCTCCTGTCCGTATCGGCCTGGAAGTTCTATCGGCCGGTTAAGAGAAGGTTGAATCCTAAAAGGTTCGCGTAAGAGAATGATGTGAGATTTTAACTAAAAGAATAGTGAAAGAATTTACTCATTCTGACTAGAGTGCTCCTCAATCTCAAAGTTTAACAAGTATTTTACCCGGTCCTTTCGCCAGAGAATTCATTTTTATTATTTATATTAAATAATTTATCTATATGTATAATTTATTTGGATTTTATAAATATTTTATTTTCTCTTTTTCATAAGTGAGTGGTATGCCTATATTGAAAATTCATAATACTTAATAATTAACACACTTACTTATGATGTTTTGATTTCTAACCATAAAGCATATCGTGAAGGTTTGTCACCTCCTATTTAGGATCAATAATATATTTATATTTTTCAATCAAGACACTCAAATTTATTATCTTATACAACCTATATCAGCATGTGATTCTGGAGTTTGGACAAACTCTCAACCAATTAATGCGAGTTCTGATTATTAGATAAAGATACTCGATTACCCGATAAATTATGTTTATCATGATGGAAATTGCACGCATCGTATACCTTATGAAGATCAAATGCTTCAATCTTTACTCATGTTCGTTGTGGATGTTCATTAAGTCTTAGTATAGGATCTTATGATAAAATTTGTTTACCAAGATACTAAAATTTAGTATCTTATACTATATATATATATATATATCAATTGCTACTTTTGAAAATTGGACTAACTCTCAATCCATGGTTGTTGTCTAAATATTGTTTTAGAAACTCAACCGAAGACACTCCCATACACTATTGAGGATTCTCATCTTAAACATTGTCCTTCAGTGTATAATTTTTCAACTTTTTAAATGTTCATTTGCTAAAAAAATTGTCCTGAGTGTTTGTTATGGAGCAAAAATTTTATTACTTATATTAATAATTAATAAAGTGTGTCTACAACGCACACATATTCAAGTGTATTTTAAAATGATGTTTTGCTTGAACACTTAATTTATCATATTTTAAAAAGCTTTACAAAATTTCCTTCTAACATTGTAACATTTCACATGCATTTGAATTCTTGGATGTATTATAGACACATTTGAATTAGCCGAAGATGATTCGATGAATTAGAATATTTGATTTTCATTTCAAGATTAAATAAATATTATGTTTTAGGTTAGTGAATTGGAGACTGGAGTTCACGCATTAGGGGTTAGGGTATATAGTCTCATGCCCCAAACTTCATTTAATATATTGTCTACATATCAATACACAAAAAGGTTATTAGTTATGTGTGTTCATTTAAATTGCTCATAGAAATGTAACTTATTATTTATTTTTAGAAAAAAGAGTATAAACATAATTATTAAGGTCAAATGATGTATTTTTGGGTTTAAGCAAATGTGATATATCATATATGTCACTCTCCAAACATTAGTCTACTCCAATGTACATTGGTATAATGCAAAAGCACAAAAAAGAAGAATTATTGGATAAAAGAAAAGAAAATATTAAATGAAGAGAGAGATAGTTTCATAAATAGATCAATAACTAAATTTTTGTTAGTAAGAGAATTGTCCACCTTGGCAACTTGTGAGCTTTCCAAGTGCTTATGTGGCAAAATTTTAATTTTGATTTGCCATAATATTATGTTTAGATTAGATAGATAGAAGCTCTCGAACTACTTGTATTTCATCTTCTAAATGATCATCACTTCGCGTCAAAACATTTTTTTGTAAAAAACGAATACAAATTCTTTTGTTTTCTCTTCATGGTGACTAGTGACTACAAGCAGAGAACATATGGGTTATTAACATTTTTAACAAGAACAATAAAAAGATAAAACAAAACCAGCTCAAGGTTCATTTTCATTCCCCCTACCACCATCTCTCATTTTGCACAATCCCCACTAATTCATCATTCTTCCAAAATAAAAGTGCCCACTAATTTAAGCTTTCAGCAGCTATAGTTTCAAAGAGACACGCCATCTATATATGCTATGGGGAAACAACATCCATATACCTTTGACAACCTAACCAGGAATCCCATCAAATTTAAATTGAGATTGGAATTACTCATTTTTGAAGCAACTCTGTAGGCAGGAGATTTGTGACGTGGCCGGCCACAGATGGGAAGGAGATTGAAAAGAGCTTAAGTGAGAATAAACTTACTACTATAGTACGCTAGAAATCTGGGATGGAGAATGAAGATTGGAGACAAATGGGTTGTTCGGTTTTGTTGCCGCCTGGTCCTGGAGGTTCTTGTAAACCCAGTTGCTTGCAATCTGACAAGCTTTATTGATAATAACTGTCCAGAATATAAAGACTCACTTGCTCTAGCCACAAACACGGCTTGAAGAGCTTTACCACTAACTCCTGGTTCCTACAAACCAGCAACCATGATCTACCACTTAGTTGCAAAAGCTCTAACAACTCTAAACGTACACATGACACATCAGAGGGACCTAAACTGAAATAAATCAAACGGTAAGACTTGACAACTCAAACGATAGTGTTTCTTTATTGACTCTATTTAAACCTTGGCGCCTTAAGTAATCCTTCTCCTGAAAGGATTCAGACTTCTCAAGCTGTTGCAGTTCATCTTCCAACACAATCCTCCCCTAAACAGAAGCCAGTTGTGACCAAGCTTCAGTTCACTTCTTCAATGGAAACATCTTCAAGCTGACACACACCAAGCTTACTCCTTAGAAGCTGAAACATCTCCAACTTCAGAGGTTTGGTCATGATGTCAGCAGCCTGCTCGTGTGTGTTGCAATGTTCCATTTCCACAACTCCATTCCTTACCAGATCCCCGATGAAGTGATATCTGATGTCAATATGTTTGCTTCTTCCATGAAACCAAATTTTTGGATAGTTTTATTGCTGAACTGTTGTCAGACAGAATCCGAGTACAACCAACAACACTTGAAACCCATCCTTTGCTCTCCAGTATCCTCTTCAGACAGACAAAATGAGCAACACAGTATGCTGCAACCACAAACTCAGCTTCTGTGGTGGAAAGGGTGACTACTGGTTCATTCTTGGAAGCCTAGGATATTGCTCCTCATGCTAAAAAGAACACATATCCACTGGTAGACCTTCTATCATCCACATCTACAACATAATTGATATCAGTGTAGCCCAACAGTCTGTTCTCCCCTTGCATTCTCTTGTACCAGATTCCAAAATCAATAGTTCCCTTCAGATATCTCAGGATTCTTTTGGCTGCCAGCAAATGTTTCCTAGTTGGATTTTCCATGAATCTACTCAAGAGGCAGACAGAATACATCACCTAAGGTCTTGTTGCTGTGACATAGAGTAGACTGCCAATTAATTTCTTAAACTCAGTGGGATTCACTAGAACTCCATCACCTGGTTTGGACAGTTTAACTCCAGGAGTGATTGGATTGCTAACAAAGTTGCAATCTGTCAGCTTGAATCATTCCAGGATCTCCTGAATATACTTCCTCTGACAGATAAAAATTCCAGCTTCAGACTGTATCACTTCAATTCCCAGAAAATACCTCATCCTCCCCAGGTTCGTCATTTCAAACTCAGTTTCCATGGCCTGCTTAAAGCTACTGATCATCTCTTGATTGTTGCTGGTATACAACATCATCAACATAAATACTGACAATTAACATGCCTGTTCCAGATTCATACTTTTGATGAACAAAGTATGTTCATGCGGACACCTTTCAAACGCAGTCTTTAGCAGATAGCCTTCAATTATGCTGTCCCATGCTTGAGAAGCCTGATTGAGGCCATAGAGAGCTTTCTTGAGCTTGTATACCTTATGCTCCTCCCCATCAACTTCAAAACCTTGAGGTTGCTCCAAGTAAGCATCCTCAGAAAGGTCCCTATGAAGAAAAGCAGATTTGACATCCAATTGGTAGACTGTCATGCCATGATTTGCTGCCAAAGCCAAAATAGTCCTGATTGTATCCCACCTTGCTACAGGTGCAAAGACTTCTATATAGTCAATACCAGCCTTTTGAGCATATCCATTTGCTACCAACCTAGCCTTATGTTTATCCAAAGTTGCATCTTCCTTTAACATGGTTTTATACACCCATTTACAGCCAATTGCTACTGCATTTTTTGGCAGTTCTACCAGATCCCAGGTTTGATTTCTTTCAATTGAATCAAACTCTAGGTTCATAGCATGTCTCCATCTTGGATCTTGCTAGGCTTCCTCAAACGTTTGAGGATCAGATACTGCCATCATTAGCTTCCAATTTGTGTCTGCAAAGCTGCAGTCATATATGGATAAGTGAGCTGGTGGATGCCTGGCCCTAGGAGGTAAGCCCAACACGTCAGTTCTGGAACCAGAACCCTCATCATCAGACTCAACTACATCAATAACGACTCTTGGTGTTTTTGGACTATTAGGTTATTCTTCTGCAGTAGTTATAACATCTTCTGCCACTTCTTCTTCATCATCTGATGCTTCCCATAAGTCATCACAGCCATCCCACATCAGTTTAGAGCTATCTGAGTTTGTTTCTGGTTCCTCCATCCACCTTTTACCTTCATCAAAAACCACATCTCTGCTCACTACCACTTTCTTTGTAGCTGGATCAAACAACATGTAGGCTTTGGACTCAATTGAAACTCCAAGAAAACAACACAATGAGATCTTGTTATCCAGTTTTTTTCTTCTCTGATCAGGAGTGTGCACATAGGCCACACAACCAAAGACCTTGAAGGGCTGAACTGATGGAGAATGTCCTGTCCACGGTTCTTGAGCAGTTTTCCCTTGATTGGCACTTGTAGGACTTTTGTTCAACACATGAGTAGTCCAGGTGACAGCCTCAGCCCAGAAAGAAACAGGTACATGAGTGTCTTGCATCATACATCTGACCATGTTCATCACAGTTCAATTCTTTCTCTCAGCTACTCCATTCTGCTGAGGAGTGAGAGTAGCTGTTAACTGCCTTCTTATACCAGATTCATCACATAGCTCCTTGAACTCAGTTAACATGAATTCACCTCCCCTATCTGTTCTGAGACAAGTGATAAACACTCCATTCTCCTTTTCTACTTGTGCCTTAAACTTCTTGAACCAATTCAAGGCTTCTGACTTAGCAGTTAAGAAATAAACCCATAACTTCCTACTATAGTCATCAGTAAGGGTAAAAATATACCTCTAACCAATGTTGGAGGCAGGTGTTATAGCCTTATAGGTTCACAGAGATCAGCATGCACCAATTGAAGGTTTTGGGCTCTCCACTGACTCTTCTTTGGAAATGGATTTCTGTGTTACTTCCCAATTAGACAGGTGCTGCAAAATCCATTGCTGCCTTGCAACTGTGGCAAGCCTTAAACAAGCTCATTCTTCTGCAATTCCTGGAACTTTGTGTATTGATGTGTCCAAACCTTCTATGCCACAAGTTCAACTGTGCTTCTGAAGTGCTTCCAGTCTGCAGGCATTGGATGTTAGAGGACTGGTTATGTTTGTCCACAGCTATGTGTAACACAAACATCCTGTTGGACTTCATCTCAGTCTGCAGGAGAAGACCCTTTTCTTTGTGAAACATCTTGCAGTTGCCTTCTTGAATCAGAAAAGATAGTCACTTTTCTTGCCACTGACCAACACTTAGCAGGTTGGTTTTGAGCCCTGAGACATAGAAAACCTCATGAACCAACATTGAAAGTTGATTGATCATCAACTTAACACTTCCTCTTCCAGCCACGTTTAGTCTGATGTCATTCCCCAACCTGAAATTGCAGGTGAAACCAGTATCTAACTCAGTAAACCATTTCCTCTCTCCAGCATGTGATTTGAGCACCCTGTCTGAAGGAATCAACAGTCTGTATCAACTTCTTTCTTGGAGGTCTCTTCCACGAAAGCCATCAGAAGCATATCATCTGTCATGTCCCCAAATTGCTTCTGATCCTACATAGTACTAGAGCTGGAATATTGAACTTGCTGGTTAGTGTACCATTCTGGGCACTCATTCCTGTAGTGTCCCAGTTTCTGACACTTATAGCACTCCACAACATCCGTATTCCAGCCTCTACCACTTTTTCCTCTCCCTATCCCTAGATAAAAACCTCTTCCCTGACCTCTTCATCCCCTACTGCCAAACTTATGAAAGTTTCTGAGCACCTGATCCTCCTCTCCAAACAACCTTTTGGTAAACTTTTGTTCACGAACAACCAGAGAACTCTGAAGAGCATCTACAGACAGCTCTTCATTGTCCTTTGATTCCTCAATAGAACAAACCACATAGTTAAACCTGTCCGTGAGAGTTCTTAACACTATTCAACTATCTTCACATCAGGCATCTCATCCCCACATCTTCTCATGGCATTTGCTATGGGCATGATTATGCTAAAATAGCTAGTCACATATTCACCTTCTTTCATTTCAATAATCTCAAAGTTTCTTCTTAGTGCTTGCAGATTAGATTTCTGAACTCTAGCATTGCTCTGATATTTCAGTTTCATCGAGTCCCATAAGTCTTTGGCAGTACCTTTATTGAAGATGGTTTTGAGAATGGTTTTGTCGATGGAGTTGAAGAGATAATTCTTGGCTTTGAGATCCTTTAGCTTCAGATCTTTCATAGCCTTTGTCTCAGCATCATTCAGTTCTTCTCCTTCTTTCAACACTCGCAGCCCATCACGAACTACAACCCAATACTCCTTTGACCTGAGCAAATTCTCCATCAGAAGACTCCAATGGTCATAGTCCCCATTAAATCTTGGAAGACCAACTTGAGCAAAGCCTCATGAGTCACTCATCCTGCCAGAACCATAGCTACTTGACAGTAACTTTCACTCTCCCTATAATAAATCACCTCACAGAAAAACACTCGTGTTTCCCAACCCCAGTCTGTAACTCACAACAGACTTGATCTCTATCTCTCTGAAACTTGCTTAAAAGCTTTTGGTTACAGCTTGCGTGGGCTCTGATACCCCCAATGTAAACCCAGTTGCTTGAAATCTGACAAGCTTTATTGATAGTAACTGTCCAGAATATAAAGACTCACTTGCTCTAGCCACAAACATGGCTTGAAGAGCTTTACCACTAACTCATGGTTCCTACAAACCAACAACCATGATCTACCATATAGCTGCAAAAGCTCTAACGACTCTAACAACTCTACTGGACTCAAAGGTACACATGACACAAGAGAGGGACCTAAAATGAATAAACCAAACGGTTAGACTTGACAACTCAAACGACAGCGTTTCTTTATTAACTCTATTTAAACTTTCGCGCCTTAAGTAATCCTTATCCTGAAAGGATTCAGACTGCTCAAGCTGCTGCAGTTCATCTTCCAATAGTTCTTAGTTGGTTGAAGTCGATGGAGATGAGATGGGGATTTGAGGGAGGTGGATTGTGGAGATACTGCACGGTGGACAGAGAGGAAGAGATTGATGACGAACGAGAAGAGGGAGGGACATGGTGGTTGGTCGTGCCTTTTCAGCCTTTTGGAGCGGTACTTTTTACTAATGCTTTGCTATTCGTCGTCCTACTTTTTACTAATCATCGCCCTAAATGGATGTAAAAAGTCATTAATATCATTAATGAATATCATATTCTTGATATGAGAATATGATATTCATTAAGGGTATATAATACTTTTTACATCAATTTAGAACGATGATTAGTAAAAAGTAGGGCGACGAATAACAATCCTCAAAATCAAAGGGGAAAGAATAACCAATGACTAAAATGCTAAGCTTTGTTTCAAGCTCCAGGTTCGAATTCACAACCACCTGTTTGAAATTGTGAACTTCTTGCGTCCAACTACTATTACATCTTATGTTACAAAGTTGCATATACCTAGTTTTATACATGACTATCAAAATTCCCGAGGGCCATGGCCTCCTGACCTCTACACTGGATTCGCCCCTGCTGACTATGCATAATTGTTGCTCATGAATATTTGATGTATGCCCTCTATCTACACTTGATCCTTTTGTATTTCGTACCAATTAACTCTTTGATCTAACGAACACATGAGAGGGTTATCAACTATTTTCTAGCCAAGAAATTTTTGTATTGATAGAAACCTTTTTCTAGGATTTTATCAGAATGTTCGTGGGACTGGGGATTGATTAATGTTTAGGGATTCGTATAGAAAGGAAATAGAGATTTGGGGAAGTAGGGGAGAAGAAGAGAGAGTGGTTGGCAACTTGATTTGAGAGAGAAGAGACGAGAGATTAGGGTGAATAGGATTTAGGGAGATATATTATTCTAATTGATCTCTTGATTTCCTATGACGTAATGCCATATTACATATTTATACAAAGGAATTGAATGAATACGAATAAAATTTCTCCCTCATCTCTTGTTTCGTTTCTCTCAATCATTGCACTAATATTTGTTCTTCTTTCCTATCATGTTCATAATACGTTATGAGCACGAAAGCTCTGTCAAATACTTTGCCCAACAGTTTGATTATGCTAGACTTATGAAAATTCTTCTCATGTTACTAATGCTCGAGGTATGTCCTGATTGTTTAACACTTTTCCATAAAGAGCAAAAGGAAAAATACACAGAAATGTTGAGAATATATATTTATTTTTCGTTTGTGCTGCATGATATAGTTGTTTATGACTTTCTTAGTTAAGAATAAACTTTGCAAAGTTTAATTATTGTTTTATCGTGTCGTGTTTATAAATATTCTTTTTATAAAAATTATTTTAGTGAAATTTGAGAGAAAAGTTTAAGAGCCCATCATTTCCCCCTTGAAGTGGAAAAAATGAAGAAAGAAAAAGTGTCATGAAATAAAGTGGAGATAATAAAATTTTTGTATTGAGAATGTGTTGTTAGAACGGATCAAGAAATTGATAATGCAAGAAAGTAAAGAACACATTGATTTATGTGGTTCACTAACACGGTGTGTGTTAGCTAGTCCACAAGCTGGATAGAGCCAGTTTCACCATACTTGAGGATATACATATTACAGATAGAGAAGGTATGTATAGTACCTTCTCCGGACGGCCTAACCTAATCCAACTGAGAATACAAAAAAGGTTACAGACCAGACTCGAAACAGTAAAACAAACGTGTATAAGCCCATACACCTTGGGTCGTGATGACACTCTATTTATAGTGTTAATCACTCCCATTTTTGATGCATTTTCCCTTTTTATCAATACATCTTTAGTACACCCTTTTATAACCATAACTATTTGATCAATGAGAATTTAATAGACATAAGCTATGTTTTTGTACTCTTTGATGTTTTCTTGGTATGTTCTTATGATTTTCAAGGTACAAAACAACTTAGGAAGACTTGGATCAAGCATTGGACAACTCCGGAGGACTACAAGAGCTACGCAGATCTTTCACGATAAAGATGAGATCCAATGATGGAGAAGCCTACTAGTAACCACAATTAGAGCCCAAGAGAAGCGTAATGGAGGATGACTCGACCCAAACAGAAGCAAGAACTAGCAGGGGCCCAACAATGGGTCCAACCGCCACCTAAGCAAACCTGCATAAACAACGATGAATAATTCTTTAGGAGAGGTTACTTATGGACCAAGAAGTCTAGCCCAAGAAGAAAAAGTAGCTTGCACTTAAACCCTACTACTGGTCAACCGTTGAGTCGCTGGACAACATGACTATTGGAGAGAGTTTGACTTCCGCCTGTAGGAGGAAAGATTTTGGAAAATTTTCATTTTCTACTATTTTGAAGTATATGTGTTTGTTCATTTCAAAGATGCAGCTGATCATAGTCTGTTCATATTGTGACACCAAAATGCCCTCTCATTCGAAGTTTTACTATCCTCGTCCATTATGTGCCCTTAATGTTTCCTTAATCCTTATTATCATTAGTCCCTATTTTCATAAGCTCATTATGATTTACTTTTAGTAAAGAACCAAAAGGAAGAAGACCCTAAATAGGTAAACCAAAATATCGGCTCAGTTTGGCCCTGCTATAACTTTTGCAGAAGCAGATTCTTGCTTGAGCTTTTAGAGAAGTACTTTTCAAAAAAAGCAGTTGAGTGTTTGACTGAAAAACTATTAAAAGTGTTTTTCAATATGAGAGGTTGTGTAAAATGACTATAAAGGACTTATAATATAAACTATGAATAATAATTCTGAACAATAAAATATAGTCAAAATGGATCTTGTTAGACTTCTTTTATATTAAATAATATTTATTTTATTATTTATTTTATTTTTAAAATGATATAAATGAAAGAAAATTATGTTTTCTGAAATAATTAAAATATGGTAAGGATAATCTTGTATTTTCAAAAAAACTTTTCGCATAAGCTCCAAATCGGAGCTTCTGCTTTTATGTTATACAAAAAGGGCTTTTCGGCTTTTCAAAAGCCGAACTTTTAGAAGTGTTTGGCCCTGCTTCAGATTTTGAAGTCGAAAAGCACTTCTAAAAGCCAGGCCAAACATAGACATCATCTGGAAACTTCATCCTGCTAGAGCTTCCTCAACCGAGCGAACTTCCAACTAGAGATGTAAATCATTGGTGTCTCTTTCCAGCCAACAATCGAGCTCTTCCCATCCACCCTAGTTTTTCAGTACTTCCCACATGGAAACTCCTTAAGTACAAGCTTCGCCTGATACAGTACCATTGCGATCAGCTTCAACTCCACCATCCCAAACCTCGCAAACAACGTCCTCAACACATCAATCCGCATCGTTGTGAAACACATGTCCTCTCCTGATATGTGCATTTATTTAGTAAAAGTAATTATTTAATTATGTGTTGTTAGGGGAGGGATTATGACGTGAGTAGTGGGGTAACTAGTGAGTTAGTGGTTAGCTAGGATTAAGGAAGGTGTTTTCCGTTGGCTAGGGGTTGTAGTTGTTTCCTTACTATTTAAGGTAGAAAATGATAGAGGAAAGAATAATCAAAGGAGTATAATAAAAAAAGGGTTTTACACACCTACGTGTTAATTTATGAGGTTGGCTTTCCTCGAAAAAGTTTAGAGGTTTTGCTCTCGCCAAGGAGAACACTTCTCTTCTTCAATCTATATATCCTTCCTCCATTATTCTTCTTCCAAATTCATTATTTCTTCCTAAATTTCATTCGTGCAAAAGTGCACGTAACATCTCCGTCCTCCACCACGACGTTCCTGATCCTCCTCCCCAACACCAAGGAATCGAGCAACGCCCTACTCTCCGCATCTACCTCGTCCATACACACCTCCAGACAATCAAAGACAGAGGCGAATGAGAAAAGCTCCTCGACGAATCGAGGCGACAACGTGGTCAAATTCTGATTCGACTCCATTTCCAACACATCCACGATCCGTGGCTTGAGGCCTCGTATCACTTTCATCAGACCTTCCATCCGCTTGAGACAGGGGATCAGACTCCTGAGGTAGAACTAGGAGTACACAACTAGCGCCTCCTTAGAGTCGGTATTGAACATTTCCTTCCGATGGTCCAGAACGTGGTCGACCGTTACGATTCTGAAGAAGAACGTAACAGTCAATGTCATCCGATCGAAATAACTCGCGAGCCATCTCCACGTCTCTTGATCGACTTCCTCAACTTTTTGGGCCCCACGACCGTAATCTTCAGCATCTCCAGAGGGCGGTCCCACGGTCGCGACGCGAGAGCTTGCATCATGGCCTTCCACTGCATTCTGTTGGAAATCTCGAGGTCGATCACGTGGATCCTCCTTGATCCGCACACATTTTCGAACAATATTAGAATTCCTGCCATGTGAGACATCGTGTAAAAGGGGAACTTTTCGGATACATATTGATCTATCTGGATTGCCACTTCTATTGTAGTGTCGACTGGTGCTTGACTAGTTAATTGGGATCTCCAGATCTCCCCTCGTTGTTGGGTATTCGTGAGAGATCCTCTCGCGAAGCTATTCGGAGAAATAGTGACCAACCCTCTGATTTGGATCTGTTAGAGAGTGGTATAAGATCCAACATAACCTTTTTCCCAACAACTCAAGTTATTGGGAGTAACTAGTTCATGACATGGTATCATAGCTGATTTGGCCAAGTGGTCGTGTGTTCGAATCTCCACGACCCTTAATATTCACAATTGATTAAAAGCACAAGGTATGGTGGACCTATGCAAATTACAAGCCCATGGGTTGGTTTTCGTTTGAGGAGGCGTGTTAGAGAGTGGTATAAGATCCAACAAAACTTTCTCCCAAAAGAGAGGTCAATGGATTGGGAGCTCATACCGATGATCCTTCACGAAGATGCCTAAAGGATTTCGTAGGTTGACAAACTTTGATCGGCAGCGGGTGCTGTTGTGCCTTCGTCGGCACTGCAGGAGCTATTGGATGACGCCATTTCTCTGTGTCAGAGTGGGACGCACGCAACAATTGAGAAAGAATTGATTACTAATATATAAAATCCAAGGTTGTAAGTTAGTATTCATTAGTGACTCTCGCACTTCTCCAAGTGCAAGTGAGGAAGTTTCAAGTCCTCCTTTTACCCCACTCTCCATTCTACAACCACTGTGTTTAGCTATTATTCACTAGGTTTATATCTATTATCCATTGTGTTTCTCATAACAATTATTGCCTACTAGGTTTTAAACTCTCTATTGCAACAACTATCCACTAGGTTTTCGTCTATGTTTTTTTGCACAAATCATCTCCTTTGCCCACCATTTTGCAGCCCATCTCGAAATACTGTCGACAGAATCCTAAGTTGTTCCACACCACCGCTTCCACGAGTTTTGTATCGGAATCCTAATCATTAATATATTCATTAATTATTTTATTTTATATATAAAAGCCAAGGTTGTAGGTTACTATTCATTAGTGGCTCTCACACTCCTCCAAGTGTAAGTTGGGAAGTTTCAAGTCCTCATTTTACCACACTTTCCATTCTACAACCATTGTGTTTAGCTATTGTTCGCTAGATTTATATCTATTACCCATTGTTTTACCCCACTTTAAGCGTAATTTTTTGTCTGTTGGGGGTATTGTCAAGGTTCAGCCCAATTGGTGATGGCTAAAGAAAGATGGCCCAAACCGAAGACGTCCCAAAGAAGGGAGGCGGGGAAAGAAGCCCATTAGGGTTAAGTCGGCCCAAGGGCGTTCAGGGTGGGGCAGTTTAGTGGGACTGAGTCTCTGACAGGGGACGCATAGTGACAAAAGATAGCCAACGAGAAGTGGCGTACGGAAAGCTGAACGAGTGAGATCATGCATGACTCACTCCTACTGTCACTCTAGAAAATGGCCAAGTATAACCACTTCTTAAAGCGTAGTATAGCGGGTTTTGGTTTTAATGTCAACCCGGGTCCTAGATGTGATGACTACTCAGTGAATTCTTATTATCTAGCAGTGAAACTTTAGTGCAGGTTCAATTAAGCAAACAAGCAAAGCAATTAAACGATTGTTTCAAGTCGAGAGAGGTCACCCGGATATGGTTCCCCCTAGACTGTAGTCAAGCCGGATTGCAATTTACCAAGTTCAGTTTTAATGATAGTTATACTGCGGGAAGTTCTTAAGCAGTCTGAAGTCTCGACTAAAGGTCTCCAGACCCTCTCTATCTGAGTCCCCAGCAGGGACTAACCTCCACCGGAGTAAACAGATTGAGGATCCTAACGAACCAAACCTCCACTACCGAAGTAAATTCGGTACAGAATAGTGAATTGGCTCCTCGACTAAAGTCGCCAATTCACTACCTTCAATTAAGGGTGCTCTCTCAACCTAGGCAGATATTCTCTTTCTAGGCAAAAGCAGAAATAACATGAATTTGATGAGGATTCAAGTCATTCAATCATTCAAGCCTCAATGGAATATAATCAAACCATAGAATCTGTACTTGGGTTCATACAATCAGACCTAACACACAAATCTAGGGTTCTCCATATCCAGATGAATAAGAAAACTACTCCATAGAGAGAGATGGAAAATCTAGCTCAGATGCGGAAACCATACTGTGAAGGATGATAATATGCTTCTGGCGCTCAATCGGATATTCTCCAAGCTCAAGTCGGGCTCCAATGGTGATGAAGATCAAGCTAGGGCACTTGGGAACTCTAGTTCGTCACTTTCTCTCTCTAGGAATCGCTCTGTCTCTCTAAAACTCGGAACTCTCTTCTCCTCTGTTGAAAATTGTCTTAAAACCACAAAATCGCGACTCACACGGCCAGGCCACACGGCCGTGTGACATCCCCTGCTGCCCGTGTGAGTTGTGCAAACCGTAGCGTTTTGATAAGTGGCTTCAGGCTTCCTACACGACCACGACCCACACGGCCGTGTGGCTTCCTAGGGTGCCCGTGTGAGTTCCCTGGAATTTCCACACGGCCATCAGGGGTCCCCTACACGGCCGTGTGGCTTTTAGGCATGCCCGTGTGGCTTCTCAGCTTCTCGCCAAACGTCCAAACTTCGTCCAATCGACCCCGAACTCGTTCCTAAACCTTCATTCACGTACTAGGACCTGAAATATCACAAACAAGAACAACCTAGCTTGAAATCGGCCTAAAATGCGAGAATCGACATCTCAAACGGCTCAAGGATAGGGGGTAAAAAACATGTGTAATCAATGGTCTATCAAACTCCCCCACACTTAACCGTTTGCTTGTCCCCAAGCAAACCTAACTCAAACCAATGCAACTCTCCAGACCTCTATAGCAACAAACAACCCCGATCGTCGGTAGAGGATTTTCTAGATCATAAAGCAGCTTACGAGGTCAACTGGTCTTCTAAGATGTTCCCTATCTCTCTCAATGCGAGTATTAGACTCAAGCCAGGATCATGAGAAGAAGTAGAAGTAAGACAGTCAGTTCATGGATAAAGGGACTCATATCATTCACAACCAATGACTTGTTGTACCGGGGTGCTCTTTTCACTTCATTTCACCGTTGGAACCCCTTTTTCACTTTCATTTTACTTTTTTTTTTCTTTTTCATTCACTTGGCAGGGGTTCCAACTGCAGTCTTTTACACGGTCGACCCTTATTGGTCGAGTAAGAGCAATTTCTGTACATCTGGCGCTTGCCAGAGTACTTCTTTTAACTCCCTTTCCACAACTCGTGTGGAGGGTCAATGAAATTAAGGGGGGTCGGAAGCTCTATCCGTGCCCTTAAAAACACATCCTCAAGTAGGCAAACCATTCAACGGGTGGAAGTTTTACTTGTACTAGAGACAACTTAGCTTCACCTTGTAGGAGTACCCCCACTAAGGATCACTAAAATCTCCTCCAAACCCCGATTTGGTGCAATGAACGGTGCCGTACACGTTGGGCTTACCCCATGTTTAAGATTTTGATGATTTTAACATGGAGGACCAACTGCATTTTTCATTTTCCACATGAGCACCCTGTTCGATACACAAGTCCATAACACAATCCACATAGAGTCACCAATACCACATGAATTCAACGGTCCTAGCTCCGCTAATTCACAAAATCAACTAGCACAGCAGAGAGCTAGATAGGAAAAATCTTATACTTCAACATCCTCCATAGTGCTACACTACGTCCCTAGGTTGCACATTACTATAGAGATTGTCAATTCAAAGCATACTGAGCAGGCAATTTGCAAGGAAACACGTACTTGGAGCCCTCAAATTTAAAAATTTGGATAATGGACTAGGCTCCAAGCACACAAACAGATCTAATGCAGTCAAAAGAGAAACATCCCCCCCACACTTAAGATCGACATTGCCCTCAATGGAGAAGAGGGAAAGATAAGGGGAACGATGTTACCGGTGTGAACGGACTACATGAGACTGGAAGTGGACCAGTCTGAGCGAAGAGGACTGGAGAGGGGACCAGTCAGGGACAAAGCAGAGCTAAAGGGAACAGAAGAACTCAAACAGAATATGTTAGGTCCAATGGTCAGCCCAATAATACATCATCCAAAACAAAAGAAAACAAACCAAAACAAAACCAGTTTACAATCCGACTCAAAACAAAAGAAATAAATGAAAACCGTGGTGGGGTTGCCTCCCCACAAGCGCTTCTTTACCGTCTTTTAGTTGGACGCCATGGTGGATACACAGCGGGGTGCAGGAGCAGGTGCCTCCAAGAGAAGATCCACATCGCTCTTGAGGTACAACTTCAAATTGTGGCCATGCACCCGACGGGTGCGACCACCAGCATTGGTCAGCTCGACCTAGCCATCCGGCAAGATGCAGGCGAGGAGTACTCGGATGGCCAGGGTGGTCGTGGTGCAGGAGGTGGGACCAGCTCATAGTGGTCTCCACCTTTCTTCCGTGCAGGCTTAGCCACCTGTGGCTTCGGCCGCCACTCCTCTTTGAGCTTTTTATTTGCAGGTGAGGTTAAATGGGGTGGCGGCGAAGGCGTGAGAGGGAAATCCTGCAACACGAGATGCACAGAGGGGTACATGACAGGCTCGTGTACCTGGTGAGAAATGGCATGCATAGGTGTGACAGTAGACATAGCACAATGATCAAGGTCAGCCACAGAAAAAGTAGCTTGTTCATTCCCAGCACGCAAGATCAGTTTACCACTATGCACATCAATTAGTGCCTTGGCGGTGGCAAGAAATTGTCTACCCAAAATCAAAGGCACATCCACATCCTAATTTATATCCATAACAACAAACTCAACAGGATATGTGAATGCGCCTACTTTAACAAGCAGATCCTCTATGATACCCCTAGGATGCACAATAAAGCGATAAGCTAACTGAATGCTCATCCTAGCAGGGCTAAGTTCACCTAGGTCTAGCTTTTTAAACAGATTGTATGGCATGACATTTATGCTAGCGCCTAGGTCCGCCAAGGACTTCTCTACATGCATGCTGCCAATATTAAGAGGGATAGTGAAACTCCCTGGGTCTTTGCGCTTTTCGGGCAGCTTGTTCTGCAAGATGGCAGAACACTCCTCGCTCAGCATCACTGGCGAAAGATCCCCAAGTTTCTTCTTGTTGCTGAGGAGACCCTTCATGAACTTGGTGTACTTGGGCATCTTCGACAGTGCCTCCATGAAAGGTATGCTGATGTTGAGCTGCTTCAACATTGCCATGAACTTGGCAAACTCAGTCTCCAGCTTATCTTTGTGTAGTCGAGTGGGGAAGGGAAGCTGGGGTACGTGCTCCTTAACCACTGGTTGTGGCTTGGGAGCAGGGGCTTCCTTCTCCACCCTCACTTCTATATCATCGGCTGGAAGTGCTGAAGGAGGCAGTGGCTCTTCATCCCTAGCCTGGGCAGGTACCGCCGATGTGGACTTGCCACTCCTGGTGGTGATGGCATTCAGCTGCTGGTGCGGCTCCCGTGGATTGGGGATGGTAGTGGCAGGTAGAGTTCCCGGGGCTCGGGTATTAATTTGGCGAGCCATGCTACCCATCTGGTTCTGTAAATCTTGCAAAACGGCACCTTGGTTCCTCTGGACTGCCTCCAGTGAGGCTATGCTCTGGTCCATCCTCGTGAAAGTTGCCTGGGTGGTAGTCATGAATGCCGCTAGAATGTTTTTCAGCTACGTCATCTGATTATCTGGAGTCGAGGCTGCTGCTGGCTTGGCATACTGACGCTGAGGCTGCTGCTGAGGTACTGGCCCCTGTCTAGCCTGGAAAGGCTGCCTCTTCTGAAAACCACCTACTAGTGCCGCAAAACCAGGTGGCTTAGTGGTGTTGCTATTCCAAGCGAAGTTGGGATGCTGGCGCCACCCCTCATTGTATGTATTGCTGTAGGGGTCAAAGCGCCGAGCATTGGCGATGAAGTCCAACTGCTCTCGGGGAGTAGTTGACTCCCGCATAGCCTGGCAGTCTTCCACCAGATGATTTGAGCTCTCACACCACTGACATCAAGCTACTGGAGGTGTAGCCAAACCTCTGCCCGGAATAAGACTGTTGGGCTGCTTCAATGTCTGCACCAACTCGGCTACCTGATGCTCGAGCCCAGACCTGGCCTCCATGGCGTGCACACCAC